GTGGCAGCTGCTCAGGCTCAACAACACCAAATGCCTGGTCAGCCTGCACAAGCTCCACTAACGCCGGGTGGATTCTACAGCCCTGCAACTCCTGTACAACAAGCGCAAGCGCAGCCGCGGCCTCCAATGGTGAGCACCTATTCATCCACGCAGGCATTGTCGATCAATCCGCTTTTCATACGGATGCGCTTACATTCAGGGTTACGCCCCTCCACCACAAAATCCTGCCATGTTCGCTGGTCAACAGCAGCCGCAGCAAATACCTCCTGCCGTTCAGCAACAGCGAATGCAAGCCTATCCTGCGCCAATGAAGCAAGTGGGAATGCCTGGTGCTCCTCAAGTGAATCCTGGTCAATTCCGAGGACCTCCTGTTGAGGTAAGACTCCAACAATGCCTTGGTACAATGCATTTTTTGATTTTTTCATTTTTGTGGATTCAATGTTGGGTTCATACTGATCCGTTGTTTCGAAACAGTTCCAGCAGCGTTCGAGTTGCACAGTTGTGCTGGAACTGTTCCCGGACTCACGGATCAGTATGAAGCCAGCCTAAATGCAGTCACTGCGAATTCTGCGCGAAAATACGCAACGTCAAAAAACGGTTATGCCGTACCCGATTTGGTAGTAATGTTTGACGTTTAGGAAGCTGTTCAACCTCCTCCACCCAAAAAGAAAAGGAAACCTACGAAAAAGCAGCAGCAGAAGGAAGCTGAACTAGCCGCTGCCGCAGCAGCTCAGCAGCAACAAAATGCCGCTGCAGCTGCCCAAGCACAGCAACAGCAACAACAGTTCTACAACGATCGCATGATGCACCCTGCCGCTATGACGGTATATCACATCTTTTCCCCTTTTTTCATGTCCAAAAGCACTGCTCGATATTCCAGCCTGCTATGCAGATGATGGGTCACTCTGGTTACCCACCTAGTGCTGCCTACCCACCCACTCAACCAGGTATGCCTGCTGTGCCACCCCAGTATCCGGGATACCCTCAAGGAGCTGCACAACAGCAACAACTGCAGCAGCAACAGCAACAAGCGCTGTGGCATCAACAAGTGAGTTGAAAAGCTCGAATTAGCAAGATTCAGAGAACTCAAACGCTATTTTCAGATGCAGCAGCGAATGATGTATCAACAGCAGCATGGGCAACCAGTGGGAGGACCTCCTGCACAACCATGGCCAGGCCAACGAGGTCCTCCTGTGCCTTATCCAACTCCAATGGGTAAGTGGTTTTGTATGCACATGTATAGCTTTCCATGCAAAGTGGGAACTTCAGATGGTGTGCAATGTGGCCCGGCATCTGTGCATCCTACGGTCTCACAAAGAACCTCAGGATCTGGAGAATATTCTCGCGACGGTACATCTCCTGCAACACCCCATCAATTCAATCCTGGCAGTCATCAGGGAATGATGATGGTATGTTTGTTGGTCATGGTTTATATTCTTGAATTCGTGCGCTGTCTCTTCTTCGTGCGGCCTGCTTTTCTGAAAAATTTGTTGAAGCAGTCTTTAGTTCCATTCACGTGCTATTTTTGGACTTAAAGTTTATTATACTCCATAGCTTTCCCGCTTTTATGCACATTTTTTTGTGTTCTCACAAAACTCTCATGCTCGACTGACGCAGTTAGAAGTAATGGAGTTTCTTTTTAGTTTTCCCGCTAAATGTTCGAAGTAGGGTGCTCTCAAGATCCACTAGGAGAGTTCAGAGTTCGAAAGCATTTGCCCAAACATAGTTCTAATGGTTTGCCGCTTACACTAAGGCGGGAATAAGGTTTGAGCAGTTCGGCTGTTGTAAACAGCATAGACGGAAATGGAAGATAACTTCTTATGAAAAAAGAGATTCAAGACAGGGTCAGTGTGCAGCGGCAGAAAATGACCTCTTTTGAGCATTTGTGTGCAGACTTCGACAGAGATCTTTTTAGCTTTTGAGCGCGATTGTTTTCACGTGTCTTGTTCCTGTGAGTACTTGCTTGTTTGATGTGGATTACTATTTTTGGTCCATCTTTGCAGTAAGGGATGATATACAGCGGAAGTTGCTGTAATATGGGTTAGGAGTGCGGGGGAGAATGATCCTCAATTCCGATTGCTACCAGTAATTTATGAACGATTCCGGTGCCGCAGGCGACTGAAGCTGTGTGCATCATGCCTGTTTTTGATGCCCAAGTAGTTTCGCGCAGCAGATGCTTTAAGTTCACTGCTATATCGGATTCTCTAAAAGTGATCATTGCTGTTGACATACCTAGAAGAAACTTTTCTAAAATGCAGGTTATTTAGTGAAATCAAGTTCGCAAATCTAAGATTATGACGTTAGGGTTGTGGAAAAGTCTCATTGATTTTTTTCTTAATGATCCCCTGATAGCTTGTGTTTCTTGAGTGCCTTTTCTAGAAGGGACTCGGGGTTTTGGTTTGGCCTTTGGATGATTGTATCTTAATTATGGAGAGTATTTGACAGCGGTTTTCCCTCATTAGTTATTGTGCAAAATCGCACTTTGGTCGTAGTGGT